GAGGGAAGGGGCTGCAGCAGCTGAGGCACTGAACCCCAGTTGTGTGGTCACCACTTCTGGTTTACATACAAAAAAATTCTCATATTCCAAAAATACTCTGGGCCAAAAACCAAACAAACAAACAAACACCTGTTTGTTTGCTGGTTTGGACCACACAAGCCACTTTTAAAAAATAAGTAAATAAGCCTTAGATATACAGACTTGAATACATCATTGTCCTCGGTTCAGGCCATAATCTTATAATTGGGCCATGAATGTTTCGTTCGTTCATTCATTCATTCATTCATTCATTCCAGCAGCCCCTGGAATGAGTATACATGACTTATTACAAGCTCATGCTAAGCGACTAAGCAGCCTCCCTGCAGTTGCTGTCCATGGGGTTAATGAGCTCAGCAAGGATGCTCTCTGTCGTAGCCCTGGGCCACATGAATGGCTCACGCTCTTGAGGGGAATTGCTTGGTCGGGATTTAGGTTAGGCACTTAACATGGGAAAATTATTTCACCTCTCTGTGCCTCATTTTTCTCACTTGTCCAACTGGGGTCCAGCTGTCCCTGCACTGTAATGCTGTTAGGAGCATTAAGAGCAATAATTCAGGTCCAAGCACTCAGACCTGTGCCCAGCATGCAAAGTGCCCTGGATTACCTTGGCTGCTGTTGTTGGTAGGGAGAGGAAACCTCTTACCATCCCTTGCTGCTGGCTGGTGATGTGGGAATTCGCCACCATACAACGGGAAGGAGTTGTGGTAGGCCCGGAAGAGGGACGTCCTCCTGCCTCCCTTAACACTACCGGGTATCAAAGCTCAGGCTGGGAAGTCCGAGAAAACAGTCTTTCCCAGGATCGCTTTCTGAGACCTGATGATTCTTTTGGTAGCTTTTGGCCTTGACCTTTCTACATAGCCTAAGCCAGTGTTTCTGAAACTCTGCACCAGAACCACCCGAAGGGCTGGTTAAACCAGTTTTGAACTTAGCAAGCTGAAGGGGATGCCAAGAATTAGTACTTTTTTCTTCCTTGCAGTACTGACTTCCCACTGAGCTACATTTCCAGTCCTATTTTATTTATTTTGAAACAGGGGCTTTCTAGGTCTGTCCGAGAATCTGTACTTGTACCAAGTTTCTTGGTATTGTGGCCGTTGTCACTGGTCCAAGGACCACACTTGGAGAACCCTTGGTCCAAACAAATAACTGATAGGGGACAAGAGGAGGTAGGTCAGGGAGGGTTCCTGGAGGACAGCTTCGGGCCATGAGTGAGAACTTGCCCAGTGGAGGAGCTGTGTGTGGAGGGAGCAGGTCCTGGCGCCTGCATGTGCCCTCTGGGCCCCAAGGCTGGTTGTGGGGTCTGGGCTCCACTTGGTGGCCTCTTGATGTAGAAGACAGTTTGGGACCAGAAGAGATGAAATCAGAGCTGGCAGGTATCATGGATGGTAGCACAGGCAGGAGAACGTCAGACAAGGCTGGAGAGGACTTCACAGCGAGCAAGAGGGAGCCGGCGCTGGTCCTCAGCCTGTCCTCCCTCCTTAACTCCTGGAGGATTTCTTCCATGACACACAGTCCTGTCCTCCCTCCTTAACTCCTGGAGGATTTCTTCCATGACACACAGTCCAAACCATGGGCTGACCCGTTATTCTCAGAGGTCATGAGATGAAGTATTGGTTTGCAATTAGCATTAAAAAAATAAATTAGAAGAGAGCGGGATTAAACAACCTTAGTTCACTGCACACATAGGTATCGTTTCATCAGGTTTGTCTCAGTTTTCCTGTGGGCCACAGCCCAAGGATCCGAGCCCAGGCTCTGTGCAGCCTCTAGCTCGCCAACCCCGTGTCGGGGTGGCCTTTGTCCCCAGCGAATCTAGCTCAGGCCTTGAGGCCCCTGCCCTGAGCACTGACCCCTAACCCAGGAAAGACAGGGTCCTGTGAGCTCCAGGTGAGGAGGGCGGAGTGGAGGGTGGAGGTGGAGAGCAAGCCGGGCCCTAGAAGGCCCCACAGAGGAGGGATTTATGGACAGGACTTGGATTTGGTAGCATGGTTTAGATTCAGAGCCCAGGGACTTTAGGAAGCACAGGGGTGGTGACTCAACTGGCCTTGCTGGAGTTCAGTGTGGGAGAAGAAAACTCACTTTCAAAAAGTAGTCTGAGGCCCAACAGAGATGGAAAATCCAAACAGAGCCTGAGGAGGCTTTAACTATCAGTTAACAAATTTAAGCAATGGATGCGGAAGCCGAGGGCGACTTGCCTGCTACCTGCCTAGGACACAAACATGGGCTTTGAAGGCTTCTGGCTCTGTTCTTCCAGGAAACCTTGAGCCTGCCACATACCACCCCAGGGCTCAACACTGTACAGTGCATCAGGGAATCCACAAACATCTCGGATGCACAGCAGGTGGACCTGTGGACCTGACCTAGATCCTCCTTTCCCTCCCAGGTGAGGAACACCTGAGCCAGAGACTGCGGGACCATCAGCCCACTCCTTGGGTCTTGCCAACACTTCCCCAAGTCTTCAGCAAGAATCTAGTCATCATGGTAACTGGGACTGCATTTGTTTTAAAAAATGTTATTTTCCCCTTTGTGTGGGCCAATCTCTTTTTAAGAAATTGTTATATATGGAACTGGGTGTGGTGGTGCAGACCTGTAATCCCAGCACTCAGAAGGCTGAGGCAGGAGGATTGCCATGAATTCGAGGCCAGCCAGAGCTAGGTAGTGAGTTCAAAGTCAGCCTGAACTACATAGTGAGAACCTGTCTCAAAACAAACAAAGAAACAAAAAACAAAATACAGCTATAAAGTGCTGCTTATTTCACTATAACTTATGGCCCATACAATTCCAAAAAACATTAATTTTAAAATCAAATCTTTTTATTCTTGATGGTCATGCAGGGAAGGAAAGAAGAAAACTCTGTAGGAAGCAGGTAGGTAATAATGGATGGGTTAGAAGTGGCAAGATTACCGTATTTGAACATTTTGATTGTAGGGATTCTTAGAACTGCAAAGAACTGGGATGAGGAGATTTGTACTACTACAGCATCTGGGAGTCTGAGCTCCTGCTTCGCCACCGCCCGGGTTTGAGTTGGGCCCTCAGCCTCTGGGTGGGCCTTTCTCTACCCAGCCTACAATTCTCCTAAGCCTGGGGACAGAGCGTGATGTGTGTGCACCATGCAGTCACACGCGGGGCTTACTACCTTCTGTCTTGAGGCCCCATTCTGTGGGCACCCTTTCATTCCACACCTAAGAAACTGAGTTCCAGCTTGCTCAGGGTCAGACCACACAGGTGGGTCCAGCCCCGTGACCAGGGGCTCCGTCCAGGGCTCCTTCTCACCCAGAGCTCCCTATCCAAAGCTTCTGGCCTCGCAGCCCCAAGACTCTGGAACTGGGATTTGCATCTGTGGCAGTGGCCAGGAAAGACTAGTGCTTTTATACTGAGGAATCGATAGCCTTTCACTGTATTTGTCTGATCAAGAATCCTAGCTATGGGGAATTTTCCACGTTTAAGCAATTTTCAGAAAGGCGTACCCACCCAAAAACACATGAAAAAGCCCCTGTCACTTTTGTTGTCCTCTTCCCTTAAATGGATTTAATGCCACAGAGGTCTAATTTATTTTTTAGTACAGTGCACACACTAGCTCACAAGGTCTTGAGCATTCCACTATACCATGGCTGATTGTAGTGCACAGCCCTATCTTAGCCCTTTTTTAATGCTATGTATGTAAAGAACATCAAGAATTGCATCTTATTTCCTCTCACCCACCTTGATTGAGGCAGAAAAAGGATAAACAGCAAGTGCTGTTGCAAATATCCGTCCAAAGTGGTAATTATTGCATCATTATATTCGCTATTTTACTTGTCATGTACCATTAGAAGGTAACAAGATCATTGTCACTCAAAGATTGTGGAGATAATTAGAGCATCTATAGGTTAGCAGGAAATCAAATTGGTGCTGGTACCCATCAATGCTGAGGCGCTGAACATAATTAGAGGGAAAATATGCAAAGGTTGAGATGAATAAAGCCCTGGGGATTAAATACCGTGACTGATTCGAGAGTGACTTCCACATTCTGACACTGCAGATGGTGACATCAAAATAGGTGTACAATAGAAGCCAGCGAGGTCTGCCAGAAATAGCTCATCAAGACGCCCCTGGTGCTTTCTGTAAGGTCCCAGGCAGTGCTGGATTTGGAAAACAGCGTTTATCATCTTTTCCAGCCCACTAGCTTTGCTTCATTATTTTCTCGCCCAGGGAGTCAGGTCTTAATGTATAAAATGGTGCTGAGTGAAATGGGCCTTCCTTGGCACCTATGTTTTAGACCTGAGAGTCCCACCCGTTTCCACAGCAGTGCTAAGTGTCCCTGACCCTGCCCAGCACCCCCCACAAATTCACAGCCCCCCCATTTGTGTCCAAGTCCCTGCCTCGAACCCACTGAGCAGCCTCCCGGAGCCTGCTAGCCCTGATGGCTGTTGGCTTTTTTCCAGAAGGGTATAAACACCAATCCAAACAGTGATTCCATTGGGTTGATACAAGAAAATTTAACAAAAAAAATTTTTTTACATCTTAAAAAAGCAAAACAGATTTTAGAGGACAGGGGGAAGTCTGCAAATGGATGAGGGATATGCCACCATAATTCAGAGAGACATGGAAAGGAAACACCTGGAACATAAACCGGTGGAGTCCACAGATTGAAAATCGAAAGACCGAGCAGGCGAGTGCCGTGGTCAGTGCTTCTGCTGTGAGTTTGGAAGCAGGCTCGAGACACAAACACACTTGTCTACTACAAGACCCACAGCATACCTTCCCAGGACGTTTACAGCATTTTGTTCAGAACACACAAAAGAAAAAGCATCTGTAACTGGTTGTGGGGGGCACAAATGTCTTCAGATACTAATTGGCGGGTCACTAACCAAGTTGGAGTCGGCAGGGGAGCCTCCAGGTCTCACACAGGCCTGGTTCGAGCTGATTCTTGCACAAGTGTGGCTTCTTCCCTAAGCAATGATGGCCATCTCACACAGACAAGCAGCTGCAAGCTTGGTTCACATTTTTTAATAACATGGCACAGTTTACATAACACAAGAAGGCTCCGCCGATGAGAACATGCTGAAGATTCAGTTGCTTCACTTTTCTTTTCACATAGGATCTAGAAAGGACTTTATTACATACAGGATTAACAGCAAAAAGGTCTGTATAGAACAATCTCTTTACAATACTGAAAGCTACACTACAGTTCCAGTGTACATATTCCTTGGATTTTTTTTTTTAGTTGTCATCTTAAAAAAAAAAAAAACACTGCACAACATCTGGTGTTCACAAAATCTGAAGCTCACAACTAAACCTTCAGTTTACTACTAAAATAGATCTCTCTGCTCATTAGAAACAATGGCCTGTAGTTAACTTTTTTTTTTTTTGCAAAAACAGGATAACAACGCCAGATAGCACTTTAATATACTAGAAGACCAAATGGAACTAATTTTATTTCATACATGTATATTACAGTCCAGTAGACAAGATATATTGTATTTCTCTGCTAGTAAAGTCATATTCTCTCCAAATATGTAGACAAGAGGCTTAATGTATTATAAAAGTATTATGAAGAGACATTAAGATTGATGCAAACTCAAAAATACACGCACATACAAGACTTTTTCTCTGCCACCTTTCACCCTCTGCAATTCTCGATGGCTGCACTAGGCTGACCTGTCTCAGCGATTCCCAGAAACCAAGTCTAATAGAGACTAACCGGAATACAGTGAGTCACACTGGGAAATGTGCACCTTAAATCTGCCAGTTAGCGTTTACAGTGAAAACATATCCATCATCTGAGAAAACTTGAAGCTTTCTTTCAGGATCTGTTTGGTGTCGTGAAGTATTACAAAATGAGGAAGTGTGTACAGATATGAACTGGGACACACTAAAAATGAATGGCTCCCACGTGAGGTGTGCGCAAAATCACGTGACCGGCGGCGAGGGGATTCTGCCTTCTGCTCTGACTGGCACCACCACCGCCCCCTGATTTTGGCATCTGACACGCCCCATCCTCCCCGGCACTGGTTGCTCCTGTCCTCAGTTACCTTCCGGGGTGCGCCCGGCCCCCCAAGCCCTCAAGCAGCAACTTCAGATGCAAAGTTCCAGCCTGGGGTCCGATTTGAGAAATAGGGTGTTCTCTATTTGAAAAAAAACAAGCAAGGAAAACAGAGTCGTATCACGTAAGCGCTTGTTTAGGGAAAATATGACCTTAAGTATGTTGTAAATGGATTTGAAAAGGCTCCTTTGAGTTAGGTGGGCTTTTGTGAAAAGCCCTAACATTCATTGCATAGTTGAAGGGTTTAGCTGTCTATAACAATACACGGAAACACGGCCTTAGCGGACCGTGCTCACTGATACCAGGTCTGCAAATAGCACATTTTAAGAAGTATTAATGTATTATGTTACTTAATCTTTATCTATTTACATCTGTACAAAGTAAAGCTTTCATCTTACCCTTTTGCATATATGAACCATCAGCTCATGAAGCAATCTTTTTTACACGCTATGTACACACGGCCTTCCCTTCCCCTCCGAGAGAGCTCTGCGAGACGGATCGGATCGTGTGGGCGCCCCCAACCCCCAAAGCCCATCCGAACGGTGTGTGTTGTCCTCTTCACTGTTTTGGTTCAAATCAAAAAGTTTTATAGAAGGAACAAAAAAGAGGAGACATGAGGACATACGAGTTGGCTAAAAGATCTGAAAAATTTCAACATATGATATACAAAAACGTTTCAAAATCTGCGCGGAGTCTGTACACTGTACAGGGGCGGAGGTGGGGGCTGGGCGCCCGCAGTCCGGAGAGGCGGGTTCCGCTCGGGCGCTCGCTTTCTCGTCCCACGTCCAGGTCTTCCTGTCCCCCCTCACCGGGCTTCGATGTCCTTGAGCGTGTGTGAGGGGGGCCTCTCCCGGATCTCCGCGGACAGCGGGGTAGTCCTGCGTGGGGACCCTGGGCGGGCCCCCAGCGTGGAGATGAGCGGCGGGGGCGCGCTCAGCGCCGCTGTGGGCGGGGTCTTATTGAGCAGCCCGTTCTGGTGGCCAGCAGTGGGGCTGATCCGGGGGTAGTGCATGCTCGGGAGCCCCGGCGCCAGGAGGCCGGGGTGCGGCAGGTGTCCGTCCAGGGCGGCGGGGTGCACGGCGTGCAGCCGCGGGTGCTCGTAGTCGTCGCGCAGCAGGTGCAGGCGCTCGCGCTCGTCCAGGTGCGTGCCCCGCTCGTGCTCACGCCGCGGGTCCATGGGCAGCGGGGGGTGGGGGTGAGGGTGGTGGTGGTGGTGGCTGTAATCGTGGGGCTCCCGATCCCGGAAGGAGCGGTCGGCCTCGTAGAGCCGCGGGGCAGAGAGCCGGTGCAGCGGGTCGCTGCGCAGCAGGAAGTCCCTGCCCAGAGGGTCCCGGCGGTGCACGTCCAGTTCCCGGTAGGGGTCCCTCAGGGGGTCCCGGATGGGGTCCCAGTGGAAAGAGGGGTACGGGAAGCGCTCGCCCCCCGGAATGGGACTGAGGCCCATGAAGGGGGTCATCATGCGAGTCCTGTCCAGGCTGCTGATGCTGTTCATGGGGTGGATGCCCGTCACCCCCACCGTCATGGGCATGGATGCCAGCGGCCCCGCGTGCACGCCGGCCGAGGAGCTGGGCGGCGGCGGCGGCGGCGGGGGCGGCGGCGGCTGTGTTTCGGCGGAGAAG